GATACCGTATTAAAGCGCGTCGTGTAGCCTCTTATACCGAGATTGTAAAAGGAATTATTATTTGGGTATTGGAATCCAAAAGTCATCGAATAATAAAAAATTCTAAAGATATTAAAATGTTTTTAATAAAAATTAAAACTTCTTGATTAAAACAATATGTTTGCTTCAATTTATGATTTATTATGAGTTTTTTTCAATTTCAATTTTAACTATTTGATTTTTTTCCACAAATATTTAAAATCAAAAAGTGAGACAATAGATGGAACTATAATATTCAAGTAGGACAATGTTATAATATAATCCATGAATCCTTCGTTTTGCAGTAAACTATAACCTGAAGGAGAGAGCCAACTTTTATAAATATTCCAAGACTCCAAATCTTTTACATATACAAAAACTAAGGTAAAAAGCAAAACCTAAATATAATATATAATATATATTTACAAACTCATGTAAAACTTAACCCCATCTGGGCAAAAATTTCTTTCCTAATAATTAAAATATTGTCTATAAAACCATTGTAATTAATGTGAACCAAATATTTAAAATATTTTTAAGCATTTACTAATTATCTCCATTAAAGTGAGAACTTATCAAATCAAATCTAATTTTTAATATTATAAAAAGTGATATTGAATAAATAAAACTACTTATGAGGATTAGGAAAAAATTAAAAAAGTATTAACATAATGGAGCATTAAGTTAACATTCATGATAAAATATTAATTTTTGCTCCTTACAAATTTCAATTAAATCGTCGCATTATTATTATTCTAGACAAAATATATAGCATTATTTTCTACTTTTCTAAAATTCTAAATTATCATAAAATACATTCTTTTAGTATCATTTTTTTTCTTTTACTAAAAAAACGCTAAACAATATACTTACACTTTTTGACTTTCTCCCAAATAAGGAGATTTTAATATATCAAATAAATTTTGTTCATATGATTTTAAGTCCTTTACCTAAAAATATATACTATTTTATGAATTTTCTCTTAAAAACTCCAGAACTTATTCATTTGTTATTAAATCAGGAAAATAAACTCCATCCTAATAATCCGTTGCAATTATTAGTTTAAAGATTTTTTCCAATTACTAAGTGCAAAAATAACTGGTACAGTAAAAATAATGAATAAATGCTGATAATAAAAGAAGAAAAGGATATATAAATTCATTGAGGTTATAGAATTCAGTAGTTATGTTCCAGATAGTGAATATTTTGAGTGAATTTTAATTGCAATTTGGATGCATTTCACATAGATTTCCCTAATGGTTACGATATAAAGCATAAGGAACAACAATTATACTAATTATTAATAGCTCTTGTGTACCAAATAGAAGCAAGATTAGCAATCATCCATTTAATCATTTCAAAGTAATCAGATGCTACCTCACAAATATCTGATTTTCTTAAATCACTACATATTGAGAATTTAATATGATCTTGATAATAATCACAACAAAGGCATTAAGGGGAATTCCTCATAGATTTTTCGTAAACCTTAAAAGATTTCTTACCTTAATTATTAGAAATACCCCATGTAATTCAGCTTTCTTCAAATCAGCTGGAAACTTATAATAATTATAAATCATCTCAGGTAATATTTCTGACTAAGACTTTGTTTTAGAATCACTCTCCATATTTTTTCTATAAAATTTATTTATCATAATTATTAATAAAATCTATCTTTAACTTCATTCTAATTTATTTTTTTTTATTTTTTCAGATATATTTGAATTTGGAATATTTAGCGAGAACAACCTATAAAAATGATTGTTTATTGAATTGTGTTCAAAATGATGGATGAAGTATTGAGTGGAAATGCTATTTTTGTCTATGGATAAGATAAATTAAATATTTAGTTTGCCTTTAATTATATTCAAGCCTTTCCTACTCATGTACCAACTCAAATCTAGTAAAGGTAAGATAACTCCATAACCCATTATTTAAATAATCAAATGAAAGCAAAAATGGAAATCAAGTTTGAAATACGTTTATTGCATATGATTATTCTGCACATTTATGGAATGAATAATTTTAACAAAATATGACACCAAATATTCATCAAATATTCATCAAATAAAATATGATAATTTTCTGACATAATAAATCGCAATTATCAGTTAGAGTTTCTTTGGTTAAACTTGATTTTATATAATAGTACTTATTGTTATGTGATTATTAAAATGTCTTAATAGTTTTCTCATCAAATGGGATGAAAATAAAACTGATCATAAAAGTTCGGAATTTTTGGAATATTCCAGCTTTTTTTCACACCAATCTTCTTATTTGAAAAGAAAGTGTTTTTAATAAATATAATTTTTATGTATTTTATTGAATTATCGACTATCTGATTCTTTAGTTGGTCATTGTAGAATTAGATTTGTCAAGACAGATCAATTTTCTAAACTAAATCAAATCATTGAAAAATATTAAGTGATATAGAATTGGATATAATTTTAACCTTCTGAATTGGATAAAAATCTTATAAAAAAAGTCGAATTTTTTCACTCAATCTCCTATCTCGTTGTTAGTCTTCATACTCATTGATTCTAAATTTTTCATAAGGAAGAATCAAGAAGATTAAATGAAAAATGCAATAGACTATAATTAATAGCATAAAATACTTAATATATAGTAAAATTTTGAGAGTTATTATTTTTAGTATGAATATGTAAATGCAAATTTACAGATGAAATTTTTATCTTGAAAATACTATATTTTGAGATACCAGCTTTAAACAATACTAATAATATTAATTTCTTCCTTTTTATTATAATAAATGTGTTGATGTTTTGGATATCAATATTTAAGTAATCTAACTTATAGAATTCTGGTACAGAAGAAGTCTTAAACTAAATGGAGTGATTTTGATATAAAATGAAGGATATTTTAAATGAGGATTGTCAAAGAAAGTATTCGTTGAATTACTGATACTCTTTAGTTTGTTATAATTATAAAGTATTGAGAAAAGAGAAAAAAAATACTCAAATTTGACTGAGGTTAATACTTCTACGTTAGATGATGGAATTGGTTTGTATGTTTAACTTAAATTTCTTGATTTTTTTGGATTGTTTATTTGAAACTTGTGAGTTTTGAATTTTGAGATGCTTGAAGAGTTATTTGAGCTCTACTTCTTGCTCAATCTGGAGATATTCTGTCATATCACTATCAAAAGATTCTTGTTTGGATTACATTTGTTCTATGACTAATTGGTATTTATTTATATTTTTAAATAAATAAAAATCCTAATTAATTTTATATAGTCATAAATTGAACTGGATTTAACGATTATATTGTATTTCAAAAATCATGTATTCATACATCATAATTTGATGCTAATATTAATTATTCACATAAATTTCAGATTTCAACTTTATTATGAATATAGTTTTTTATCCTTAATTTCACAAATTCTTATGGGAATCAAACCCAATTACTTTAGATTTGCAAGTCTCATTGAAATTCAATATTTTATCTGTCTTATGTATTGAGATGATCGATAATTGGATTAGTGTGGTATGATTCAAATATAAATATTATTTAATTTAGAAACAATAATAAATTGATATTAATGTAGTATTAATAGTTCTCAGAAAGCGAACAACAGCAATCTACATTAAATTTAGGATTATTTTATTTATTTTACAATTCAGGTAGTGGGAGTGTTAAGGCAAATTAATTTTGTGTATTGGATGTAATAGTTGATTTATAATTTAGTGTGCCGACATCACTTTAATTGTTGATGGTAAGGAAGTGCAAATCTCTTTCTTCAGCATTCAAAATGTGGCTTCCAGAAATTAGGGTTATAACAAATTGAAGGATGATTTAAGTTCAAGTACCTTATTTGTATAATTGAGATAATAAATAAATCCCAATCGTCATAGCAGGGGGAGATGGTTCCATGATGTGGGTGATTGAGTAAATGATCCAACAAAAGATTGATATCAATCAAATAGTTATTATTCCTTTACCTTGTGGAACAGGAAATGATTTTTCAAATGCATTAGGTAGTGTAGATATAATTTATTCAAAGGGTGGGATACTGATATACCAGGAAACATGCTAGAAAACGACTATCGAATTCTAAAACAATTTATAAGATTTTGGTAGAAAGGCCATCAATGCTTTTTTGACATTTGGGATATTACTATCTAAACACAATAGGATGGATATTTTTAAGAGATAAAGAAGAATGAGAAGGGTTATACCAAATAAAGTGTCAAAGATCTTGATGGAATGAATACTAATATTTTGGAAAAGAAAATGTCCAACTACTTTAGTATTGGAGTGGATGCAAGGATTGGATATGGGTTTGATAAGAATAGAACAACGAATAGACATCTCAATAAAATTTGCTATTGTTTATAAGGCATATAAAAGATGTTCCTGAAAAACCCAAGATTAAATCAAGTTGTGGAATTTGTTGAACACTTTGTATTTATTTATTGAACTTCAATATCTTAGAATCATAAGGAATAGAAGACCCTATTCAAAACTGTGAATTGCCAAGATAAAAATGCATTAACTGTTCCTGGGAATCCTGCAACCTTAGTATGTTTGAACATCAATTCATATGCTGCTGGAATTACAGATATTTGGAAAAATGGAAAAACCCCACCAGAATTTTTGCAAAGGAACAAATTATATTCTGAAAAAACCTCATTCTCTGATGGATTATTAGAATTTATATCATTCGATTCCATTGCAGGAATTGGATCTGAAAGGTTAATTCTCATTTATGAATCTTAAATAGAGTATTGGCTGGCAATGCAACAAGATTGGCTTAAACTAATGGACCTTTGCTTATTAAATTTTAAGAATCAAACAATAACAACATTGTAAATAGTTACATCTAAATTGATGGTCAATATTTTTCTATCTTTAATCCTTTGAGTGTGGAAATCTAACCCTGTCGACAATTACCTCAAGGAAAAATAAGAATTTTAATGAAGGATTGAAGATTATACAAAATATTTGTATCAAATTAAAGTCATGATTTACTGAATGGACTAACAAGATAAGATCGTTATTTAATATTGAAAGAGTTTCCTGCTTTTGTAGATTCTTTATCTCTAGTAGATTAATGCTAGCATTTCACTTTGCTGAACTCTAAGTGAATACTAGGTTAATGACTATGAGATGTCTTAGAAACCTTCCTTATTTAACTACATCTTAGATTTTCTCTTTTTTACAGCATTTTTTCAATATTACATGTTGTGATATCTTTATCAAGCATTTCCTATTGATATTCTAGAACTTCATGTGCAAATTAATTAAGACAATTATCAAAATGATCATCCAAACTTTAAGGAGAAGAAAAATGCTTCCTTAATTTTATGGATTCAGTGCTTTAAGGAATCTAAGCAATTTCAGGTATTTCAAACATTTTTTGCATCTAGTTCTTACTTGAATAATTAAACAAGTATTTCGTTCTATTAAAGTCTTCAGCAAAAGCTATAGTTCTCTGTGAAACAATCAGTTTTTATTAATTTTTTCTTAAACTCATGGAGAAGTCATTATTTTAATCAATAATTTTTAACATCTATCCACTTTATTCTTCTATATTATCATAAATTTAAATATTGTGTTATAGCTCTTTATGATGTAAACTCTAACTCTCCTTTTTTTGTTTATAAAGCTCCCCCAATAATTTTTCCTTAACTTTGCAATCATCAGTTCTGAGTTAATTAAAAACTTGGAGTCTATTGAATAAACCATGATCAGCTAATTTTTTATTTTGGCTTATCTCATTAAACAACTCAATATATTTCATTCCCTTGGTCTTAAGATACTTAATAGGTTGATTTCTTTTGCTTATTAAGTCTAATTTGGCATTGGTAATTTTTTCTTTAAAATTGGGATCACTGCTACTGAAACTGTATTTTTAGTTTAGTTCTCTATAGAACTGTTGGAGATGGGCTATTTTGTTTTTAAAGTCATTTTTTAATCTCATTTCATTTTTTTCAATTTCTCTTTGTATAAGATCATTGTCCTAATCTAATTGCAATTGATGGATGTCAGCTACGGTGTCTTTATTTTCATAATACATTTCCAGTCCAATGTTCTACCAGCCATGTATTCTTTTCTGAATTGATAAGGTTAACAATGTTACTTCTTTGTTCTCTTTTGGTCGCAATATTCTACACGTACTGGGGCCATCTTGTTTAATGGTGGTATCCCATTTGCAAATTCTTCTCTGTGTAAATCTTAAAGCAGTATCCTTATCACATCTCTTTATCTTTAATGAAAATTACATTTTTGATTAGATGCAGAAATGTGGCAGCTTTGGTTGGAGACACATAGATATCTCTTCTTTAGACACCACCTAACTTTTAACAATACTTAAAATATGGTATCTCACTTAGTAAATTCAATTCATACCTCCTCTTTCTACACTTATTACATAGTAAATAAAATATAATAAAATTGGAAATAAGAATTAATTTTATAATATAACACTGTTTTAATTACAAATTCAATTTCATTCAATAGTTTTTCTTTCTTTTTCCAGTTCCAAGAGTCTCTCAAACATTTTGAATCTCAAAAATCCATAATCAATGTATTCGAAATTCAAGGAATTCTTCTCATGAGCAAGTAGAACACTCCACCAAACCCAATTCAAATTGGAAATCATTTGCAATCTTCTAATTCTTCTCTTCAAATATGATACCGATTAAAACAATTCATTAATCTATTATTCATTCATCCTTTGAGCCAAAATCTATTTAATCAAACTGATAAAAGTGTTTAATTCATCTTTATTTTTATTAGTTTTTTAAGTGATTAGACCAGCAATTGAGTTGATCTCATTATTATCCTGACAAACCTAATGAAGTAGATAACTTAAAGCTAAATAGTGAGCTTAGATAGGGGCAGTATCAAAGTTTTCATCAACCAGTTAGTAAAAGGGCTCCTCTTCATATTAATAGTTGATGGCAGATTCATTTAGGAAATTGGCTATATCATAGGAGGGATAATTGTAGGAACAATACTCATAATCAATAAAGACTATTTCTTTGTCTTTTTTTGTGGTACTAAATATGTTTAATTAATTTAAATCATTATGACAAAATTTTAACTACAAATTATTATTAAATATAGTTACCTCTTCGTCATTTTCCTTCTGAATCATCTCCTCCAAATATTTGAATTCCTCGTCGTTGTTCAATAATTACTCAATGTTTTCTAATTGTTTGAGCTCCACATCTGTGTACAAGTCTCTTTTCTCAATCTTCCTCATAACATTATGTTTCATATTCTTTGATAGGGTTTTGTTAAGAATCAGTGAAGTGCCATCATTGGGAATGGGTATTTCCATCTAATGAAACTTTTATAGGACTCCCATCGATTTGAATTGAAATAAAGGTGAGCCCATCTTCTCATTGGTTGGATGCACTCCATTGGTAACGAATTCTTCCATCCTCCAAATATCACCACATTGCAATTGTCTGGGACCCAACTCCAAATCAGATATAGTTTTGAAGATGATTCGCTCTTATTTGGAATCCACAAATCCTTCTGCATTTCCAAATCTATTATTAAATACTGTTATACTCTCTAAACACTATAGTTCTGGGCATGACTTCTACTTGGGTCTCGACCTTGTAGGTGATATTGGTCAACCCAGCCAGTCTTGATATTTAGATTTCTGATGGATTGATTGTTTGCCAGGAGGTGAATTGGTCTGCAATAATATGTTTAATCGCATATTCAGTGAGATGTGTACTTCTTGAGTTCATTATATAAATTATGTGTTTTGAAAATCAATATTTTCCAGGTATACAAAGGCACAATATTGTTGTAATGTTCAGACGCGATTAATCCAAATTTGACGTGGAATTTATATTGCTCAAATATTTACAATTATATTTGAATAAACAATTTTAAATTTTTATAATAATTCTTATATTTGTAAATGTTGGTGTGAACTCTCAATGTCCTCCTTCTAATTTGTATATCCTGAGGTCTTACTAATTTAGAAGTATATGGCGAATATTTGGAACAAATAAAAGAAAATAAACTATATCCTCAGATTACTGTATGATCTCAAACTAGATTGATAGAGTGATTTCATTAAGATGGAATTTAGAGAGCCTATTGATGAATTTAATAAAGAACAAGTAATTATTAGATTAATAGGATAACAGAAAAGAGGAAGGAAATACTAAATTTAAGATTAAAAAAGGAAATAATATTGAGACACAAAGTAAAATCAAGAAATAAATAGTTAGTTACATAGGATGAGTCAACAATAAAAATGAAAGAAGTTTTAGACTTATAAGAGAAGGAGTACATATATTGAATGATAATTACAAAATGAGTATATGGACTATTATTAAAAAATCCAAGAAATTAGAGAGCGAGTTGGGTAATGAATTAATGGAAATTATAAAAGAGAAAGTGAAGAATACAATTTTCCTCAGATTAAATCAATTTGAATCATCACTTAAATATAAGAAAGGAATAATAAATTAAGATGCATTATTATCATCATCCATACATTCATCCTAGTTAAGAAAATAATTATATAATTTAATTAAATACTTTAATTACAAGAAAAATATTAAACTTATTTAATTAAATTATTTTAAATGTCGTTTTCTATGGTGTAATATTGATCTTATTCTAAAATGAATCATGATTATCATTCTATAATTGACAGGTATTGAATCCAAAGGGCTATGTTTTCTAGGATTTAGATCAGACAGCATGTGTTTATTGATTGATAATAATATTGCAAAGAAAAACTAGAAAATATATTCATTTTAAATAGGATGTAATATTTTTAATTTATCCTATAAAAATGGAAAATACTTTATTCATCTATAGTTTAACTAAATAAATAATTGTAGGTGGTCAATTTCAAGATAATGATTAATCCTAATTATTAATTTTTATTTTTTTATAAAACTCAATATCTTCCTAATGCATCCATTTACATAATTTCCTCCATTCTTCTAATGTATTGAAAAACAGTTATATTAGACTCTCAAACTTACAATTATCCTTGGACCTTTATGGAGCAATTCAACCAATTTCGAAATTATTTCTACATCAATAATAATAACCTGTTGTTAAACTATCATTAAGCTTAGCCAACCAACCTGCTTTTTGAAGGATCTTAGCAACCTGCATCAATGATCAAACAAGAAAATTCTGTGATCTAGGTACAATGCGTCCTATAATAGTCTAACTTTGAACCAGTAGAAATTATGAAAAACCTTGAAAACCATAAATCTCCCTTACCCTTGAAAAAAAGGCCGAATATTTCTTTCTCCAACAATAAGCGCAAAGGGAAAAAATCAACAAAAAGAAAGTTATATAACATAGGTAACATTTCTAATTTGATTCCTTAGGTCATTGGACCACAAAGGAGCATAATTTGTATTTAAGCTTTATCCAAACGAACAAGGACATTATGTTGAACTCAGACCTCAAGAAATAGAACAAAATATTTAAATAGATGTCTAATTTTATAAAGACTCGATCCCCCAGTCAATGCAGATCTCATCACCAGAAGTTTGACCCCAATGACCAAGGGTCAAACAACGCTTCTAATTTTACCGAATGCCAAGATGTTGAGAACCAAGAATGACATTATAAAGAATATAACAATTTAATATTTTTTAAATTAAAGTATCTAAGTGTCTTGCCCATACTTAAGCACATTTTAGATTACTTAGAATTAAGGGAACTTTGTTTGGCATATGAGTAAGATATCAACTAGTCTATGAAATGATATTCTGATTACTATTTTATTAAAATAATATTTAAAAATTTATAAAATAATTTATAATGGCAGACAGCTTTAATTCGAGTGGATAATTTTATAATTTTGTAGGAACGGCAGGCACAGCTGATTTTTTACCAGGATCAGGACAGGAACAATAGTAATGATATTTAAATACTAATTAGATTGAGTTTCGGAAGGAATTATTTGGCATACAACGATCAACAGGTAGGAAGTTTTCAGAACAATTTCCATTAGTCATAATTGATAGATTCTGAAGTTAAAAATAGTCTGGATTAATTTTTTGAAATGAAAATAGAGGATGTGAGATTGGACAATTTATTAATTCAGGAGGAGTAGTCTTCGAATTAGTCCAAATAGAAATAATCCATACACTCAGATATAAATAGTAGGTCCCAATATTCTGGTGATCAGGATTTTCGATTAGGTTGTAATCGTCTCTATTATATGTAGAATCAGCGGAATAAATTAATAGTAAGTTTAAACCTGAAGTTAAGATGCTCATCCCTTAAAATTAGGGAAAGAGTATATATCGAGACAAGATTGATTCTTTATTAGAGAAGCGAACATCAAACAATAACTCAGTATCTCCTTCAATAACTCCAAGATCTTCAAAGAGTCAATAGAAATTGGAGAGAAAGAGATCCCAAAACTTGTAGAATGAGACATCAAATGAAATGACAGATCCTACACAAGTGAAATTAGCAAAAAATAGGGAGTCTGCAAAAAACTCTAGAGAAAGAAAGAAAATATATTAATAATTGCTAGAAAAGCAAGTGTAAGAATTGCAATAGGAGAACGAGAAATTGAAGGACATATGCAAGAATCAGGCCTAATCAATGGAAATAGTGAACAAGAAGACACAGAAAGTATAGAATTGATTAACTCCATAGTTTTAATTATTCTTAGAATAGTAACAACAGATGTTTGAGAAATTGGAGTTGTGTTTAATAAAGAAGGCCAGTCACGATGAAATAGGAATAATAATGGATGCATTGAGATATAGAATATAATCGAATTCTTAGGAAAGGAATGATACTGCAAGAGTGTACTTTGATAGCATAGCGGAAATAATGTTGCCCATGTAAGTGAAGTATTTGTTGTATGCATGCCAAAATTCGAAAGATATGTTTGCGAATACTGACCAGTATGATATTATTATTATTTAAATAGAGATTACAGCGAATGGTTGAAGGAAGGTTTTGAAAGTACGAGTGTCAAATTCGAGAATTTCACCAAACTGAAGAAATTTTAGTCTAAGGTTTAATAATTAAAATAAAACATTTCTAAGTAATAAACAAATATACTAGTAAAGTTCTTTAGATAAAATAAAAAACGAAATAAAGTCCATCTAAGACCAAGCCTCTAAATTGGATTAAGTTTGGGACTCATTGAAATCCATACTGAATCCTCTGCAGTTGGGGACATTGATGTGTTCTCTTTATCATGTAAATAGTATTAGCAATAATTAGAATCTCTATCGGAATGAATTATAGACGAGCACATTGTTTGCGTAATTAAAGAACTCACAAGCGGAAGAGGACGACTTTTCGTTTAAGATAGAGGAGGAAATAAATTATGGGACTAACAAAATGGTTAAAAGGTGTTGAGAATTATTAAACTTATATATTATTATTATATTGTTTCAGTGAATTTTGAGAATGGGTGATTAAAAAGGAGTTTCTATATTCGATTTTGGGAAGACTGGGAATAAATTTTGGTAACCTTGTGATAAATCTGTCTTGGATGTACATATAAGGAATAATATTTTATAAGACCTAATCTTTTTTGGTTGAACAAGAATTCTTGACAGCAGGAAAGTTAATGGTCAAACCAATCTTCATTGTGTTGGGATTAGAATACATTTACAAAGTTACTGTTGATAGTTTGAAGTGTGCTCCCCTTGCTACCATGCATTTGAGCATCATTGATCCTGGGGCTGATCATATAGTTTAATTAAATTCTGATGAGCAATAATTCGGATTCAAGTTGACATATCAAACTAAATCATTGGATATCTTTCTATCTGACAAATTGTTGTATGATCAATGGAAGCAGCATTTCAAAAGATTTTGTTTGTTGGAGAATTTTCATGATGCTTTCTTAGTTTCCAAATTGATAGGAAAAGGAAGCTTTGCTAAAGTCTATTTGGCAACGAGAAAGGAGAATAACTAACAATATGCTATCAAAGCATTTAGTAAGTCCTTTATGCAATAACAACATAAAGGAATCGAAAGTTTATTAAATGAAATGTAGGTGATGAGACGATTAAATCATTAAAATGTAGTCAAGTTGCATGAAGTACACGAAACCGCAAATTCCGTTTACTTCGTAGTCGACATAGTAAGTGGAGGGGAATTACTACAGAGAGTCAGAGAAACAGGTATTATTCATTTTAAGTCATTATTAGGCTTCCTGCCTGCTGAAACACTCTAGAAATTGGCCTATAATTTACTATCAGCATTAAATCATTTGCATCAATACCAAATTGCGCATAGAGACTTAAAACCTGAAAATTTATTATTACGCTCAATTGAAAATAATCATGACATTATATTGGCAGATTTCGGATTGGCAGCAAAACTAACTGATGAAAATATCTTATTCAAAAGATGTGGAACTCCAGGATTTGTGGCACCTGAAATTCTAGAATACGTCGAAGGATAATAATTCTATGATGAAAAATGCGATGTTTTTAGTGCTGGTGTAATACTTTATCTCCTGATAGTAATTATTCTATAAAAATGTAGACTGGAGGATAGCCATTCAATGGAAAAGATTAGAAGGCTATTCTAAAAGCCAATAAAGATTGTTAAATTGATTTTGAAGACTCTCTTTTTAAGTCAGCTCCAATTCAAATGCAAGATCTTATTAGATCGATGTTATAAAAGAAGCCATCTTATAGATTGAGCTCAAGTGAAGTAATAATATCCTTAATTATAGTGTCTAAGACATCCATATTTCAAAGAATTAGTCAAGCAATCGTAAATTTAGTAGGACAAGTATTAAAACAATCTATAGGATTACAATTAATAATTCAAGAACAATGTAAGGTAGGGTTCCATAGATATATCTTTGGAATAAAGATAACCAGCATTTACTGGGAATCTGAACTCCATTGAATCAATTTCCTGTGTTTCAAATGGATCATTTGCCAAATTGGAAATGAAAGCACCTTCAGTTGTTGGAGCCTCCAAATTTAGTCAGTACAGTTCTCGTTTGAATAGATTGGGTTCCAGAGATATATCGGGTAATGTTAATATCCAATTTTAGATATTCCCACTACCTAATTGCAAAAGACTGAATCAAAAAAACACATCGACTTACATAGAATAGCAATCCAAAATTCACATAGAAAATAAATTATAGATTAATTTGAAGATCAACCTGTTTACTAAGAAAACTCAGAAGTGTCAGATATGGTCAGGTTATACAATTCTACAAGATAAATTAGAATTCCTGAAAATTTATCTTAATTCTCATAATCAAACAAATAAGCATCTACTCCAACTAACAAGAATTCTTGAATTCTATTATTATCAATTACAATAAGTATATCATTATTATTTTTATCTTAAATATCTTTCTATTACTTCTGTAAATAGCATTTGTATTCCTTCCCCAGTCTTTGAAGATGTCTCATAAAATACGAAATCCTGCTGTTTAGCATAAATCTAAGCTTCGTTTTTAAAGACTGCTCTCTCTTAATTCAAATCACTTTTGTTTCCTGCCAGCCCAATACTCAAATCTAAACTACTTACATTATCTCAAATATACTAGTACATCTCTCTAATAATTCCTTCTCCCAATAATACACCTATTCAAATGATTATCTGCTTGTAATATTATACACCAATATAGCTGCATTAGCATCTCTATAACACAACTGAGCCAAAGATCGATATCGCTCACTTCCGGCTGTATCCCAGATGTGCAGTTTTAAAACTGAACCCTTAATCACAATCTAAGCGCTCTAATAAGCTACACCTAAGGTAGTTTATTCTTTTTCTGATAGCTATTTCAATTAGATAATAATACAGTATCAAAACAAAACCTCTGAATAAGACTTGTTTTACCAACTCCACTATCTCCTAAAACTACTATTTTAATATTTTTCTATTCTTATTTCAATTATAGTTATTATTCCTTAATATTTGTTTTATTATCTTCACAACACATTTATATTTTAATTATGAAAATTTTAGCAAAATTTGCTATCAGATCCAAAACAGATTCCAATATGTGAGTTAAAATTTCATTAAAGAAAAAAGATTATGATTATGATTTAGATATGATATAATAATATTATTCATTGAGTCATTAATGTTGTATTCATACTTTTTCAATTCCCAAAATTCTAAGTATGTCATTCGACAAAAATTGTTATTTCGTAATGAATCTTTGAATCATCTAAATAAATTCACTTATTTTAGGTAATTATTCTGATATCATCATTGCTATGTTTGCTTATTCTGATAAAATATTCACATATTTCTATAGTTTTAAGGATTGTTCATACAATTCCTCCACATTTATTTTAGATTTGTCTCTTCTCAAGTTCTCCACAGTGGATTTTAAATTTGTATATAATGCTTGGGCTTTGGATAACTTCTTTTCTGCTACCAATAATTCTTTCAAACTTAAGAATAGCTATTTCACTCCAGTCAATATCAATTAGACTTCGTTTAATTTTTAGTCCAAATTGATGATTTTATCTTGAATCATTGCTTACATGACTACAATCACCTTTGGTATCAATTTCTGAGCTCCCTTAAATTAACCAATAGGCTTGTAAGTGTCATCTGGTTCTTGAGCTTCCAGTATGATTAATTCTATCATCTTTATCTTTCCTAGTTCTTCCTTAGTCTTTAAGACTTGGGCCTAGTTGTTATTCAAAATATCTTGTATTTAGACTCCAAGTTATATATTGTAATTATCGTATTTCTAAGGCAATATCATTCTCTTCAGAATCTTCTAAGCCTTCTCATTTTAATGTTGTATGGCTTCACATCTTAATTATAAATTATCCAACTCAAATAATTTATCTAATATTCGACTTTCAAATTGACCCAAAAAATTAAAATAAATATCGAGATTTACTTAGTAACTAATTTGATTAATTAATAATAATATCTTACCCACTCTACAATTTGGTCACATCGTCTATCCATTAATAAACAATAATACTCAAATGTGCACTAACATTATCAGCAAAGTCAGCATTAATTTCGCCTAAGAAGTTCAACAATTTTTGTAGTTATTCATCATTCAACACATAGTTTTCTTACTCTTACCCTCCATGTATTTACAACAATTAAATTCTGTACTTTTTCAATTTATGATACAAGGCATTTGAGACATCAATTAAATTCATATTCAATAATCCAATCAAGTATCCATTAATACATAATTTCTATTAACAATATGCTTTCCATCTGGTTTTTTGTTGATAATACTTCTCACTATGATGGATTATTGTATTTAATGTTTTGAATGATGGGTAACTCAACAATAGAATGTCCCTAAGTGACTTCAAATAATTAGTGAATTGATCTCTGGGGAAATCATCGAATTTTTCAATGGAAAACAATTGCATTGTCTCCTTTATAATCGCCATTATTTTTTATTCGTTTTATTGCATTTATTAAATGAATTTTAGTCTCTCCTTAAGCAAAATCTCCACTATTTCCATCCCCAGCTTTATTTTCTCAGTCTTTACTTTTATCGCATAATCAGCTGCTTAAACTCTTTCATCTGTTTTGATTTTGTCAATGTCATGCCTATAAATTCAGCCCACATCTATACTTATGCAATGTAATCTAATGAAACTTAGTGATTTTATCGTATAAATCAGTTTCAGCCTTTTAAGCAATCCCAGCATTGCTCAATATAACTGAACCAGGATGAGATGTAGGAGTTATTTGATTCTATGATTTATTCATTCTCAATTTAATATAATAAATAATACATTATATAAATCTCATTTTATTCCTCATATCCAAATCATATTTGTGAGTATTCAATATCCATTTAATTTGATTTTAAAAACTACTCTCCTTTATTTATAGCATTTAATAACTATTGTTAAAAACATTTATTCTAAAAAAGTACGTTTTATTTTATAAGTTTCCTTTATATAATTGTATGTATTTTCATAATAATCAAAATACTAAATTAAGTCTCTTCTTATTTCTATTATCCTTACAATCAGTGAGTATAAATATTACTCCTAATTCTCACTTAATTTAACAATCAATAATCACATAACTCAATTATATTTAAGTATAACTATAAAAATATAAGTGATAACTCTAATTTTTCATGATCATTCTAAGTTAAAAATTAGTAAATATCATAACACAATGCAACTCTCTTTTTTTAGGGAAATAATCTTTAAGAATCAATTCTTATTGATTGATATTAGTATTTTTGTACTTTTCTCGATTGGATCATCTGAGCACTTAAATTTGGTTAATTCTCAAAGGAATATAACTTAGATTACTACTTAATTCAATAATAAAAATAAAATATTAACATTTCATATTTATTTAGAATCAGTCTCAATCATACGATGAAACTAATCGAAATTGAAATTCCATGCTTCTGCTATTTTTGCAATTTCTAATATTCTTGTATCATTAGTTGATTCGGCTGATTTGACTTGTACATTCATGGCAATGTTGTCCTATCAATTACATAAATCATTACTATAGCATAGGCTAAGAATATATCCTTGACTGTTATATTGTTAACATCGTCAGTGATCAGTCTAATCTTTATTGTATTGAATAGGTTCTCCCACTCAGGATGATCTACTTTAAATAATATATTACGATTGATCTATTCACTGAATATGGCCACCTGAGTCATAAACGAGAATGCTTCTTTGAAATTAGAAAACTTAACTTCCTTATACAGAGAATGGTCATCTTGCTATTGATGATAGAAGATAATTGATTACTAATTTCCAAGTGGCTCCTAATTGATGCATCTTCAATAATGTTTTTACATCCTCCATTTTCAGGGCAGTTGGTTTTTCCCCTTTGAGAATTGAGAAATCTTTCACCTTGAATGACAACTTTGGAAACGATGTTGTAATCTTGCCTGAACAGAATCTGAACAACTAAATCATTTTCTATGATATATTTTATTTATCATATTTTCAATTTAAGGCTTACGATAAATACGTATTATAAATAAATTTAAATAAAGTTCAATATAAGTGCATAAAATAATATAATTCATAGCAATACTAATAAACTTTATGAATGAGTAAAAGATTCAATCACAATAGCTAATATTAATTGAGAATATGTAGAACAACCCTATATTGCTATGGAATACAGATATTAGATAAGTAGCAATAAAAGAACCTGAATCTCTCAATAATATTTTAAAAATTGGAAGGAATATTAATATTAGAAATTATTTATTTGATTTTTACTACATACTTAATTTTAATTTAATTCAATTATGCAGCAAGAGCATCAATATTTTACTGCAAGGAGTAGATAACAGTAATACAAAACTAATTTTATGGATTTGTATCAAGTTTTATATTTATTTTCGCCATTTCAGTTACAAAAACATATGAGGTTCAAATTAAAGACTTAATTTAGGAATTACTAAATACCTTAGTAATCAGAAGAAAACTGAAAGAAATTTGAATTTTGGCTTGATCATCTACTGCTTTACATCGATTAATTAAAATAAGGATATCATCAAGGAGTTTTATTCTAAGACAGCTAATTTTATATAAGTATAATATGCGTATAATAATTTAAAAAGCAGGTTATTTGTAAACATGTTTAATAGTTTCAATTGTTCTGAAATTCGAAGAAATTATTTAATGACGATCTAAAAATTATTATATTTAAAAACTAATAAATGTAGTAGATAAGTGATATTAATTTATTTTTAAAGCATTATTTATATAACTAATATATTATTACATTTGCATGAGCAGGGGGAGAGCAGATATCTAGAGTATCGAGTCAAGCAAAGAAATACATATTAGATAAACTACCACAACTAATTTACTACCGACTATAGTTATTGATCATCATGACGAGCAGCATGAACAATTACAGCCTTCTCTATAAGTGATTGAGGAATCTGTGGATGCGTTGTCTTAAAAAGAGGATCATAAATTCTATCCTAAATACCTCGGATAACGGAATTACTGGATTTCAAAATTATTCTTTCTTCATTACACCTAGTATGCTTTATATTTGAAGAAGCATTTGTTGGATAAAAATTTAAAGATTATTCAATAACATTTACCATAGTTGTCTCCCAATGATGATTTATAAAAATCAGTAGACACATCATTAAAAAAAATCAATTAATTTAGCCAAATCACAACCAGCCAATTGGTGAATTTGATTTTCTTTGGTGAGCTTAGAGGGATCACATTCAAATGTATCATAGCGTTTTTTATCGAATCCTTGTCTAAAAACGGTATCTCATTTATACTTAGCAATATAATTACATGCGTTTCATCAAATGATATCAAGGGTGCCCATTTGTATGCCATAGTCTTGGTCACTTTAAATTTGCTTTGCACCTTGAGCCGACATCATGCAGCTAATCAATCAATCATATTTTCATCAAAAGCAAGACTGACATTAATAAATCTGGTTTACATTAAATTGATTGAATTAAATTAGTACTCATTTAAATAAGCAAATATCGGTAAAATATTAAATATCTTATCTGGTGATATCAATACCCTAGAATAAGTATTGAGTATGATCTTTCCAAGTAGCGTGGTGATAATATCATTATTATTGGCCTGTTACATTTTGTGGGATCGATTCAACGGTTTTATTGGAATTTTAGTTGTAGCTATAATATTTATAGCATACCCTATTTAAATATTTTTGTAATCATTTAATTCCCAGACTCTTAAACTTCAGAAACAACACTAGGATAAGAGGTTCAAAATAACTAATGAATTGATCGAGGGAATCCGTTTAATAAAAATGTACGCTTGGGAATAAGCATTCAAGAAAATGATCTTAACTGCAAGGAGAGAGGAATTCATTTGTCTCTTAAAAGTTGTTATCAGATCAGGAATCGATAGGTTATTCACATTAATATCTTAAATTTGGGCGAGTTTGTTATTTTTTATTATTTTACATTATGGAGGTTATAGAGATTAAATGAGTGTGGCAGAAATGATATCAACCCTTTAATTGTTGTCATTCCTCAAACTAAATTGTGTTTACATGGTTTCATATGGAATCTAATCTTTTATTTAGATCAAGGTTTCTTTTGAAAGAATAGCGAAAACGTTGAATTTACAAAATTTTGAGATGAAACAAATAAATGCAGAACAACAAAATTAAAAGAAGGATGAATGCTAATCAGATGGTTGCAATCTCGCTATCGTATAATTTTAGAATTTCTCGGCTTATTGGACTCACTCTGTAACTAAGAACGACAAACCTGTTTTGAAGAATATGACTATGGATATCCTGGAAGGTGAAACATGGGCTATAATTGGTAAAGTCGGTTCTGGAAAATCAACATTCCTACATTCTTTGTTGTCAGAAATACCTGCTTATGAAGGCACTCTCCTTTTTAATGGAAAAGATCCTAAAAATAGTGACTTATCAATTGCTTATGTAGAATAGGAACCTTATATATTTCCTGACACCATCAGAAAAAACATCCTATTTGGAAGACCATACAATAGGACTTTATATGAGAAAGTAACTCAAGCAACAGAATTAGATGTGGATTTTACTTTGATGAAATTCGCAGATCATACTGAAATTGGAGAAAGGGGTATTACTCTTTCAGGTGGACAGAAAGCAAGGATATCATTAGCACGGGCTCTTTATTCTTTAGCAGATATATATTTATTTGATGATCCCTTGTCTGCTGTTGATGCTCATGTAGCAGAGATTATATTTTAGATAGCTATTAAATCATTTATTTTTAATGAACAACCTCTTCTTAAACCTTAAAAATAAGGACCTGTTGTTGTTATAGCAACACACTAGATTTAGTATGCTGTAAAATGTGACAAAATTGCAATATTAAATGATGGTGAAATTATAGCTCAAGGGCCGTATGAAAAAATTAAGGAATCACTTTACATGATCAATAAAGAATTAGCATTACAATTAAATATATAACCGAATGAAAATAAGCATCAAGAGGAACTCAGATCATCAGTCAGAAGACGAACCGGTGCAAGATCAACCTACGTTAGAAATCTTACTATATAAGAATAAAAATCATCATAAGTGTTGGATCTTTCAACCTTCATTCGATATTTCAAATATTGGCAATGCCTTGAATTGATTCTCATATTAGTGTTAGAGGCAGGATCTGAAATAATAATTATATTCTATTAAAGAATTATTTCATTATTTTCAGAATATTAAACATAGGATGAAATCAATTTTGCCTACACCTAATTGGGTATTCTCACAATTACTTTACTCTTTTGCAACTTTATTAAATACATTATTAATATATTTTAAGTTCAAAACACCACATAACGCATTCATAAAGAAATGCTTGACTCAATAAGCATTGCTCCAATATCTTATTTTGATACTAATCCTTCAGGAAGAATTATCAATAGATTTTCTAATGATCTATCCTTATGTGATGCCCAAACCAATCAAGTTTGCTTAGATATTTTAGAATTGATTGGAAACTTTCTATTTGCTTTAGTGACCTTGGCAATTTTGTAGCCTTTCTTTTTAATCATGATAATGGCCTTATTGCTTATTGATGTCTACATTTACAGTTTCTATAACAAAATTATAAGCTAATTGAAAGAAAACGAACTGATTCAAAGAAGCCCACTATTTGATTTCATAAAGAAAACATTAGGTGGAGCAGTTTAAGTCAGGGTATATGGACAAAGGGACTGGTTTATAAAACAGTTTTATGAACTATCAAACAATTGCAATCTAAATTCATTGACTTACTATTATCAGGCTAGATGTTTTGGATTTAATATCGATATGATTGGATTTTTTGCATAAACTGTGGGTCTCTTTATTTTCTTGAATTTGAATAATGATGATATTGCCATATTCTCTTAAGGAGTATTACTATTAGCTACATATAATGATGGGTTGTAATTGGGATTAAGGCAGATGATTAACTTCGCCACCCAAATGAATTCATACAATAGAATGTTTGAAATTATTGATATCCCACCTGAAGCACCTCACATTAAAGAAGATGACTAAAAGCTCAATAAATTCCCTTAAAATGGGGACATTGTTTTCGAAAATGTTTATATGAGATACAGAGCTAATTCTGATTTGATTTTAAAGGGCATATCTTTTAAAATTAAAAGTGGGTAGAAAATAGGTTGTGTTGGAAGGACAGGTGCTGGCAAAAGCTCAATATTATAAGCGATATTTAGAATGTCTGAAATAGAAGACGAAGAAGATTCCTCCATTTCAATATCAGGTGTTGACATTAGAAACTTAGGATTAAAAAAGCTAAGAAGCAACGTTGGTATAATTCCTCAATGTCCGTTCTTATTCACAGGAACAGTAAAAAGCAATCTAGATCCTTTCGAAGAAAACAATGACGAAAGTATTATGAAAGCTTTAGAAATTACTGGTCTTATCGAACATATTAAGCAGTTTCCAAAAGGAATTCTAACTGATATATCAGATGTCAATTCTGTTTTTTCTGTTGGATAAAAACAACTAATATGTTTGACTCGTATTCTTTTATCAAAAAAGAAGATCGTTGTTTTAGATGAAGCAACTGCTAATTTAGATCTAAAGACAGATGATTTTATTTAAGAAACATTAAAAAAATAGCTGAAAGATTGCACGTTAATAACCATAGCTCATAGATTGAATACAATTGCAGATTATGATAGAGTCATGGTTATCTACGATGGGAGGGTAATTGAATATGAAAAACCATTTAACCTATTAGCAAAATCAGCTAATTCAACTTTCATAGATAAAAATTCTGAATTTTCAAGGCTTGTAAAGAACACTGGAAATTAGAATGCATAAGCTATTTTTGACATTGCTAAAAAACAGTTGATTTAAATAGAACATTGATCTTATTATTTAATGATATTAAATTATATGTTATGAAGATTTTATTATAACAATACATGTTTTTGATCATTAGTGTCTTTATTATTAATTTTATTCGAATTTGGTATTGAAATTTCAAATACTCCTTAAACTTAAGAATTTTTGATTTTGCTTCACAAAAATCTCATCATCTAGGAACATCATCAAGGAATTTATTTAATAAAATATGACTATTACATTTCCTAACATCCAATAATAATTGATAATGGATTATATTAATTTAATTATTTATTCTCAATTGTAGATTAAGATGGTAGCAGATTTAAAAATATTTCAGATGCTTTCATAGATTTCAAATATAAATTAGCATCTATTTGTAGGTTAATCATAAAACTTCAATTGAAATACATTAAAATCTTAAAAAATTGATTCAAATTCTTTAAAAGCCTATTCAAGTCAAATCGTAATGAGAATTAGCAGATAAGCATTTTCAATAATTTTATAAATAATTGAACTTAATATTAGTTTTAAGAAATTCTTTATTCATAATAAGAGACGGTCTTAAGTTGACTTAAATTTACAAATAATCGTAATTATTAGAATGAAAACAATATAGAGATCTTATTAAAGATATATGTATAACAATCTAGAATCGCACGCATTAGGTTGGATCAAATAATCAATGTAAATATTTGCCTTTATAGAATATAGGGATAATAATTGGGATACTTCAATTTATTCATCGGGTAAAGGGAATTAGATGAAAAATTACAAAAAAGTTAATATAAAGGAAAAAATTTAATTTTTGATGTATTTATAATTAATACTTTTTAAGTAGTGTTAAAATTAATTATAAGAGAAATGAATAAATTGATAAATTTTTTATCAATTTTTACATTTCTTTATTTGAACCACAACGTTAGCGTTCTATAGCTTTCATTTACATGCTGATTTCACCCTATGTAAGGAATAATAATTTATATAGATAAATTGCAGTTAAAAATAAACTGACCATTAGAAAAAGTGTTTTCCTGTAAATTATCTTTATTAATTTTATTTTTATTGGTTTACTTTAGAGTTATTTTTTAAAATAATGAGTCAAATGCAATTAATTCGTGAAACCAAAATTAATAATTGGCATATTGTATCTGGATCAAATTTGTTTCTATTGAATGATTATTAATAGTTAGAGTAAGAAATATTAAGAATATAGATCTAAGGCTTTGATTTAATATTGTATTGTGATAAAATTCTTCAAATTAAAAGATTCCATTAATATTTTCTTTTTGGGTAGAGAAATTGCTAATAAACCCCAAATCAAACTTGTTTGTTAATAGAACAGCCATGCTTAGACAGGTTTTAATTTCTTTCATTCTGATAAACCATATTTTATTATTTCGCTATATTAACTATAATTATATCAGAGATCTTAAAAGTGAAACTTATATAAAATTAATGAAAAAATTATAAATAACTAATAATTACTAAATTCCAATAAGTTTTAAAAAAAATAAAGCTTGAGAATTTTTAGGAATCAACTATTTTAAATAAGTTGAAAGATAGATTGAGATATTTAGGATTAAAAAATTACAGGGAACTCAAAAACAGGAGCTTCTGCCACAATTATGATAAGATTTAGTAATATTATAATTATTGATATATTTTTGGGAATTAATACGTATTAATTAAAGGAATATATAAAAATTTGTATCTTTTTTATCAAATTATTGAGTTCATATAGTTTTAGATTGGTTTGATGATAAACGCTAGTTTATATTTTTTTAAATCCCAATAATTAAGATTATTATTTATACCTAACGATGAACCGCAGAGTATAAAAATAAGATGAATCTTGTGGAGAGATAAAAATTATCAAAACATCATGGAATACTAAAGAAGATAATTTACTCAAAAAAGGAATCAGAATTTGTGGAATGAATTGGATAGCAATTGCTTAATACGTACCTAATAGAAATCCTAACTAATGTGCTTAAAGATGGAAGAGACTCCAAGGACAGAGGGTATTTTTTTTAAATTAGATATTAGAGTAGAACCAATTAATTTTGGAAACCTGAGGAAGATTAATTACTATTATAGCTTATTACTTAATTAGGCAAATAGTGGTCGAAAATAGCGTAGATATTCAAAAACAGAAACAGTAAGCAATGTAGAAATCGCTACATTAATGCTCTTGATCCAAATTTAAAACAAAATAGCTTCACCAAAGAAGAAGACCAATTAATCTATGAAAAGTATTTAGAATATGGATCTAAGTGGTCACAAATATCTAAATTTCTTGAGGGTAGATCGGTAACATAAATAATTTATTTTAGGATAATTAAATCAAGAATAGGTTCTATAACAATATAAGGAGTTAGTACCTCCAAGTTGAGAACCCCTATTACTCAAAATAAACTGATTATCAAACAAAAGAGCTACTAGATCAAGCTAGAGAAGAGCATCTTCGAATTAATGGATTTATTTAAAAGGAAAAAATAATGGAAGATTAGAATGACTATTTAACAAAGGAGGAAGATATATCGAAATATATAAATGAATAAAATTACTCAAATCTTGATTAGGAATTTTAATCTAACATAGATTTCGAATATTTGAGTAGAAGCCAAGATAATATATTTTGAATTATAAGTGTTAATTTTTAATTCCAAAGGATGATATTTCCCATAAATGATACTCAATATGTTTCAATACTCTATTGTAAAAATGTTATTTCTTAATAACAAATCTTAATAAAATATTGCTATAATTTTATTTATGATCAAATCCTTTCATTTTTGCCTCATTAAGTTGAGTGGTAGAAGAGAGAATCTATGTTTGTACTAATTTTAAAAATTCATAGTTTTTTTCAAGCAATTTCTTATTCTTTTCTGAAACAGTTAGATTTTCTTACAGTATATATTTAAATAGTTATATAATTATGAATGAACCATAGATTTATTTATATTCTCTAGCCTTTCATTGAAGCATTCTCAAATTGTTAAAGTTCTATTTAAAATAGTTGCATTATATAATCAGGTTAGATGATATAAAGAAGCATTTTTAGACAAAATTAGTTTAAATCTTAAAGTTTGTGCAATAAAAAGGACTGAAATTTAATTAAATTTATTGCATAAAAAGTTGTATGAGTATTAAATTTATCTATAATGCCATATAATAGATATCATATTTCTAATAAATATATAGAAAATACCGATATTTTCAAATATCAAATAAAGGCAAAATTTATAGGTGATACAAATAGTAAGATTATTATTTGCGAACCAATCATTTCAAATATACACTATTTTTATATAATCACCAAAAATATTATTATTTTAATTTCCTTTATAATAATTTATATATTCATTTATATGAATATGTAATTCATATTCAATACTTCACTATTTAAATTCTTTTTTTATAATTAATTATATATTAAAACTCTCAAAGTATAACCAACGATATTCTCTTGAATTCATAATATTAATATGAAGTAAAACGATAGCAATCCATACCAAACCATATAAACTAAATCTTATTGTAAATTGATTTTTCGTTGTGAAATAAATATGTGTTGGTTTCTTTCGGATTAATTAATTATTAAAAATGGTTTAAATTGAACCTCTAAAATTATTGCAGTTTTAGTAGATTTCATCAAATACTTTTACTTCAACTTAGATAATCTAAAGAGATCCAAGTTATAATTTTAGTAATTAAGAAAATTGAAGACATCTGTTTCTAGTGTTTCCATTTATGAATTCTATTAAAATTTAGATATTAATACTCTTCACATTTTTCCACTTAATCTCTAAGTACAATAGAATAATCTTAGAAATAGCAAGCATTTGTAATCCGGTCGTAAATTAGATACTTCTGATAGTAATATGGGATTATTATTGATCAATTAGTAAATCAAAGCCAATAAAATTAAGTATTCATTTGAAAATTAAAACAAATACACATATGGATTTTTGACTTATTATTTTACTCTAGCAGAATAACCCAATATATTAATTTCTTTGATTTAATAATAGGAGTTGTAAGTATATACTTTTAAAATTGTATCAAACATTACTATAATTAACATCCATTTTATATATTATCTCAAAAATATGCAGGAAAATTCAATTGATGATACATTCTTACCTACTTAATATTATAAAAAAGGGTTAACGTAAAATCATTCACCTAACATACCTTTATATACAAAACAATCAAATTTTAAGGAGTTAAAGTTCTTTAATTATTTCTGAAATAAATAATTTTTAATTAATTAAGACTTAGTTATGTAAAGATTATTTAAGTTATATAGTCATGAGCACATAGATCCAAACTCAATTATTCAAGGACTCGATTCATAGTTTCGGCTTGCTGCTTAGATTAAGTAAACTTTAGAGTTAAATTTAATTCTAAAATGCCAAAACGATCCCATAAGGTCTGTGAATTTTTTTAATATTAAGGAATTCATTTGGTTAATAAAGTATTCCAAGCAAAATATTTTCTAATTGGCAAAAAAAAAAATATCAAACAACGTAACCCATAAAAATATTGTAAGCTAAAGTAACTAAATTTATTAGATATAAGATAAAAGAAAAATCCTTAAATTGGGAAATTAAATTAAGTTTAAGAGTCAATGATTAAAGATTAAAAAGAAGATAGGAAATTAGGTATAATTACAATATTATGAAATAGATGTCGAGAAGTACAAAAAAAGTCAGACTATTTACATAATTAAGGTTGAAAGCAAAATTCATA